GTCAGTCACTGCCACCGACAACAGTCCTTCTCAGGACTACACTCACCCGGACGATCAGACTACACCTTCATAAATTAAAATTAATAACTTCTCCTGCAAAAACTATTTGACACTCTTCTAGCACACTATATATATTACCCTGGTAACTTCAGTGTTGAAATATTGAAATATTGTGCATTCTTCATTATAATTATGCGTTCTACTGACAACAATCATTGACTTGACTCTGATGATGACTTCCGCACAGGTTGTCGAAATGTCAGTCACTGCCACCGACAACAGTCCTTCTCAGGACTACACTCACCCGGACGATCAGACTACACCTTCACATGTTACCCCTGGGTTCAAACCATTTACTGCATAATTTTAATTTAGTGCATATACATGCATAAACAAATAATTTTGCTTGAATAGGGGTTTGGTGAGGGTGTGTTGCATTTAGGTTTTATGGGGAAAACTGTGAAATCAATTTATAATTATCCAGTATTCTGAGCTGATAGCACTGCATGCTCATCCAAATTATTTCTCATATGAGAAATTATTGGAATTTTGATTGGAACGTGTCATACAACCATCTCAGTTTGCACTTACCAAAGTGTCATGTGTCTCACAAAACAGGCAGAGGAAGCATCTGATGGATTTGAAGAATTCACTGCCAGAAAACAGAACAGGAAAGGAACAAAAGGGAAGAGTGTTGTGGTTTTTAGAAGTGGAGATGTTGCTTTAAAGGGCTCCATGGTGCTCATGCCAAACACTATTGAATTGGCTCAGATCAAGAAATCACAGAGAGGCCAGTTCAAAACTGGTGTGCAGATTTCTTCAAAAATGACGGCTCCTGAAATAGAGACAAAATTGAAAATGATTTTCCCTATTTTAAAACATGAAAGGTAAATTTTTGCTTTTTGTCAGCTAGTGGGTAGTCTTATAATGCTATTTGTACAATGATATATGGATAACTCACACTACTGGTATTAATCAGGGTATCAAAGAGGAATGACATGACTGTGTAATTTTTTTTAGTCTTTAAAAGACTCAGTGGCCGAGGTGTAGCACGTACCTTGTTGTCATACATAATATCCCCATAATAGAAATTTCTTCCTAACTCATTATAGTCAAGGTAATTTGCCTAAATTCAGCAACTCAGCAAAGAACAGTTAACCAGCAATCATTAAATGACTTAGTAAGAGGTAGGCCGAGAATCATTTGAATTAATAATGGATTAGTGGGCTATTTTAATACTGTGGGAAACAAAATTACTAGGTTAAACTACACTTGTCAAATGTGGTTATAGTTCTAATGACATGTATACCCTATTCATTGAAGCATTTCTAATATTACATGATTGAAGGAGGCTCCTCTGGGATTTTTGTTGGTGCAAGATTTGAAGGTTTAGGCCTGCTCTGATATTACACTGCACATTCCATGCAAAGTTCTATCCATGATGTGAGAGAAAAAGAAAAAAAAAGATCTGTGGAGTGAGATTTACCACATTTCTATACCTTAGGTTCATTGGAGTGTTCAAAATATCTGTGCCCTTCCTAGTGACAAATGACAAAAAAATTCCATAAGACCTGCAGTTCTATGTAAGAGGCAGAAAAAAAAATCTTGTAAAAAGCTAATAATTGCATGATAATTAATTTAACTTCAAAGCCAAATTACTGCTGGTGAGTCTTTTCTTTGGTGTTTCAGCTCTTGAATAGAAACCATTAATTTTTATTAATATCAATAGTCTTCACCTTTTTTCTATTTGATAGCTTTCAGTGATTTAACAACAGAAAAAAAAATTTAAAAAGTTTTTAAATAACCAAGCCACCACCCACACCATAATTAGGCTAAACCTCTATGGAGCCACCTTAACATGAAAGAGTGGTAAGACTGTACTTTTTAATATAATTGTAATTATATGGTAACTAGAAAATGGTCTCTATCAAAAAAAGGTCACCTTTAGCCTCACTCCAGATCAAAGGCTTGACAACAAAGTACACAACTGTAAAATAGCCTGTTGATTTAATTAAACCAGAAAGATTGTTGACTTGTTCTTGTACTTTTGTTGTAGATTCTACTGTGCCTCGTACAGTAAAAAGGAAGGAAGTATGTTACTTTTCCATGGAGTTCCTAGTGTTTGGGATGGAAAGTCTATCAAAAAACGAGTTCAAGGAAATTCAGCACTGTATATATTGATAGAGGTAGATTGACTGCTCCTTTAATTAAATGACAAACTAGATTAATTTTTTTTCTTATGTGTGTAATCTTGTGAAAGTCCCAGGTTCAATTATATAATTAGGCATTAATTGTTGGTTGGAGGCTATTTTAAAGCTACTGTTGTGTCATATTCTTTGGGATCTGGTAACAATGAAAAGAAAACCAAAAAGCATAAATATAGGAAAGATGATGGGACACTAAATTGATTGAAAGGGGTATGAAAGATTGGATGTTAAATTTCCTGGAAGGGCATAAATTGTAGCAAAATTTTCTATTTGTTTATATGTTTGACATCTTACACAGCAGTGTACCCCAAACATTTTGCAGATTTCATTTACAATGCTCTCTAACTGATGTAATTGTGACTGATGGTTAACAGTCAGTATTGATTTATTGTTACACATCAGGCACGTAAGGTGCACTGCCACCTGGTTTAAGCTCAAGTGATAGGAGTTCGAGGGTTGAGCCCTTGACCGGACCAACACTCATGGTCTCAAAATAACAGAGGAGAATGTGCTGCCTTTCTCCCATATCAAGAAATGGATAGACATTCTATTCTTCTGTGATAAGGATAAAAAAACCATAGGCCCTGTCTCCTGCATCTTCTCTGTACTGGTTGGCAGGGGATGTTAAGGAACCCACACAATTATTGCAGAGAGTACAGAATGTAGCTCCCAGCATTATGGTCTGGCCCGAAATTGGGATAGGGGATAGGGAAAGGTAATTTACCGTGTAGGGGACAACTTTGTCACACTGTAAATGTACCTGCCCTATATAGGCAAATTGTTAAATATACTTGTTATGTTGTTATCAATGATACATATTTTTTTTTAACCTTTTACACCCCTATAGTACAGTCAAACCTATATTAAGCTGCACCATATTAAGTGGTACCCTGTATTGAGCAGCCAGTTTTTAAAGTCCTGAAATCTCTACCCTTTATTTAGTATATTGTAATTGTCACCCATATTTAGCATTGCAGTCATCCTCAAACTACTGTGTCCCAATGGCCTGTTTGTATGATCTAACAGTCACTTGAAGTGGAACCACAAAAATAAAATTAGGAATATCTTTCTGTGGTAAAACTCAATCCATTTCAGTTTATCTCCTTATATTGATGTGTGTAGTATTTTTTGCAAGTTTTTGTACATTAAGTGATCAATGATTGACAAACAAAAACTAGTTATAATTGGCATAAAAGGGCAATTTTATGGTTTTTTTTTTCATCAAACTCCCTTACTCTTTGTATTAGGGGGTTAAATACCCTGCCATCCCCTCTGGGTGACTGCTTATACAGGTTTGACTGTATGCATATTCTCCATGCTGTTCTCTAAACATTTCCTATAAGCTGCTGATAAGGTGAATATCTTTCATAATCAGGAGCCTCTTTAGTTGGTGATCACTTCCTTTAATGTGTTGCTCTTAGTGATCAAAGTTTTATCAAAATTACTGCACTACTGGTTCAGATGAAAGGTGAATTTTTCAAATTTTTGGAGGATTTTTGTTTCTTCTTAGGCCGTTTGGGTCTTAATTAAGGGTGATATTAACTGGTTTTAGGGTCAAAAGTCTTTCTTTTCAAAATACCATTTTGATTCTGCAAAAAGTGCTTACTGGTGATTGCTGAGTGAAATGTCTTTGTTAGGTTCCTGGATGTAATAAGGTAAATTACAGAAGTTGTCTAAGGCATGCTATATGTAGGACAATGAGAGAACTTTCACAGTTTCTCTCTCTCATTTATGATTTTTCGGGCTGTGAAAATTTGCTTATAACTAATCTTTTAGACTGAAATTGAAAATGACTGTTTGAAAAAAAAGTCTAGAAAAAAGTCATTGACAGTAGCACTTCACAGTCAACTCCAGGCTTGATTGAAAATTTGATCTTCTACAAATTGGTTGCATATGCATACAACCTGATTTAGGACCTCTTGAAGTAGTTGAAAGCCCTCTGATGTTTTCCTTGTTGTAAATGAAGTTGTTGTAAGCAAAGTATTTGAAGATTGTTACTTGTCAATTAGAGCAATCTTTCATTACATATTTCAAGGTATTTATATTAAGTTTGATAAACTTGATCTCTTGAGATGGGCTCAGATGTCACTCTGTCAATGACAGTTAGCAAGTGGTAAGTGGAAGTTAACTCTTCATCATGATTGAATGCAGACCTTTTCATGATTCTTTTATAAGGTTACGGGTACAAGTGAAATAAAATCACAAGTGATGCAATATTCAATGCTTGGAGCTCCTCAGATGAACAGTGAGTGTTTCAAGTGTAGGTTAATTATCAGCAAACTATTAAAGCACTTAAGAGACTTCACAAAATTTTCTTCATTCAGCAACCATGCAATCATTACCTAATGCCTACTATACCAGTCAAAGTATGTACAGAAAGTTGTGAGATCCTTACTCAATCTCACCATCAACAGATGGATCTCGACTACTCTACAGTCTACTAGATTGTAGGTTATGTAAAAATGACTATTTGCAATTCACATATGGTCAAAGGTTGTGAAATAATAATAATAATAATGATAATAATAATAATAATAATAAATAATTTTAAAAATAATTATTATTATTATTTAATATTTATGTTGGGCAAATTAACATGTGGATATGATCAAATGCACATCATTAGGAAGATCATTGTGTTAATTAATATGTCATTTGGTCTACCTGGATCAGACTATTAAACCTTATGGAGAATCACTGAAGACCACCCGTGCCTCTAAATGAAAAAAAAATGAATCAGTGGTTTTCTTGATAGACGATTCATGTGAAGTCTTGTGCGTCATGCTCCTCATAAAAGAGTTGGCAATAATTGTAACCTTGTGTACTTTGCTCTCAAGCTTGAGTCCGGCCTAAGGGCCTGGAAACTAGGTAGACTTTGGACTCAACATGTTAAAAGCAGTATCCCCTGCAGATATTGCATTTATCATGTCAAGTTCACATGCTATTGAATATAGATTAAATGCTATGACCAATCTAATTTTCGAAGACTTGGTTGATCTCTTTTTTTTGGACTTTTAATAGCAGCAACTGCTCCTGCTCCTGGAGAGGCAACCTTGCAAAGTCAGAATATGCCTGAAATCAGACCTCAGGTATGTATGTATATTAAATCTGTTATTCATCTAAATCTCTTACAGTTGGTTCAACCCCTTAACTCCTATGAGTGACAGAATTTCTCCTTACAATATCAGTACAATATCGGTACAATGTCAGTACAATATCAGTACAATATCAGACAGTACGATACACTGAATCGAAATATGGCGTCCAATTTGAATTACCATTGTTCTGGACTTACTAGCCTTGTCTTCACATGGAAACACAAAAGGATTATCACATGTGTGAGAGGCTAATAAGTCCAGAACAACAGCAATTCAAATTGGACGCCATATTTCGATTCGGTGTATATCAGTACAATATCAGTACAATATCAGTACAATATCTAGAAGACAAGCAAAGAAAAATAACAATTAGGGAATTATTTAATAAGTAAGATTTTATACCAAATTCTCAGAACTAACATCATAAGATTGTATGGCAAACAATAAGGAGAATAGCTCAGTAATGAGATGTTGGGAATTAAAGGTTTAATTAATGACAAATACATACTGGAATCCCCATTGTAGATTGAAAATCATCATGTGGATTATTTAAAATTGGTACATTAAAATATCAATTTCTTTTACTAATTAATGATGCAAGTTATTTACAATCCCAAGCACTATGTCAACATCCATCACAAAGTCCTAAACATTGAGAACAGTTTTCTTAAAAATTGGATTTTGAGACTAAGGGCATCAATGTTGAATGCGTGACGTATTGTGTTAAAGGTGTAACACGTGGGAAAAGATTCTTAATTAAAAATAGTTATCTTGGAATTTCCTTTCTTAGGATCTGGATATCTTGGATACATTTTTACATTCTGAAAGTTGCAAAGGTAAGCAAAAAACCATGCATATGATATCAGAAGAGTAATTTAAGGAGATGAATCCTTTCTTTTTTGTTTTTTAACACCACCAACCAGACTTGCAAAGGGATATCTCACAGTTTTAAAGAGTTTTATCAGATTAAAGTATCACTGTTTACACTAAACCACATACTGACATCTAGAGCCTTATGTATTGGTATCTTTACAGCTGTATAAGTAATTGCAGGTATCTTTGACAGGTTTGAGTTAATTATGAGTCGGTGTAGAATAGATATGTTAGAGATGTGTAGGTAGGGTTGATTTGAGTCCCTGTCATTTGTCCTATTTGAGATTTAGATGTTTTGCAAGAACTTCAAAACTGTAATGAAATGGAGGCAATGGATACGTCACAACCAATGAAAACAGAGGATATGCCACTTAACACACTAGTACCTTTTGGTGATGAGGTATGGAAGATAAGTTACTACTGTCATTATAATCATTGTTGTTGTTATTATTATTATTATTATTGTTGTTATTATTATTACTGTTATTATTATTATTGTTATTATTATTATTATTGTTATTATCATTTTAGATAAAAACACAAGTGATTTGAATGTAGAATGAAACACCACCTTGTATTTCGTAGAAGAGTGGAAAATTGGAAAAGTTTCCGTGTGAATTGAGATTGTACAATCTATTGCCAATGGAGGTTTCATCATCAGCAATTCTAGCATGCTTGAGTGTGGAGCTGGCACAGCTTGAATAAACTTTTCAACCCCGACTCATAAGTTGATAGTGTTTGTAATGGAGGACTACACACCTTGATCATTTTTTTAGTGAGTTTTGTTTAAAAAATCCTTTAGGGATGAAGTTTGAAAGCTTCATTCATAATTTCAGAAGTTGGAACTTTGGAACCCTTTTTGATGCCTGTACAGAGGCAATAGTTATTTGGTATTACCATCACCTCCCCCNTATGTTTCATATGTTTGTTGTTGTTTGATTTATCATCTACGGGTTTATGTCGAATTAATTTGATGGCCTGCTCCCAGTTGGCTTGTTAGCTCAATTGGTAGAGCGCTGCACTACTATCGCAGAGGTCAGTGGTTCGAATCCCGTACAGGCCTGAAATTTTTTTCAGGTCTGATTTTCACTATTGCTCAAATAGTGCTTTACTGCGAAGGATCGTGCACATATACGTTTCATAACCGCAGTTCATACATATGTTTCATATGTTTGTTGTTGTTTGATTTATCATCTACGGGTTTATGTCGAATTAATTTGATGGCCTGCTCCCAGTTGGCTTGTTAGCTCAATTGGTAGAGCGCTGCACTAGTATCGCAGAGGTCAGTGGTTCGAATCCCGTACAGGCCTGAAATTTTTTTCAGGTCTGATTTTCACTATTGCTCAAATAGTGCTTTACTGCGAAGGATCGTGCACATATACGTTTCATAACCGCAGTTCATACATATGTTTCATATGTTTGTTGTTGTTTGATTTATCATCTACGGGTTTATGTCGAATTAATTTGATGGCCTGCTCCCAGTTGGCTTGTTAGCTCAATTGGTAGAGCGCTGCACTACTATCGCAGAGGTCAGTGGTTCGAATCCTGTACATGCCTGAATTTTTTTCAGGTCTGATTTTCACTATTGCTTAAATAGTGCTTTACTGCGAAGGATCGTACACATATACGTTTCATAACCGCAGTTCATATATATGTATTTCATATATATTTGTTATAAGAAAATCCGAAAACCAGATTGGAAATCAAATCTGAAAAGCCAGTAGTATTTTTGAGGAAAACCGAAAACCAAGTGCTAAAAACGGAAAGTCCGCCTAACGCAATGATCACAAAAATCGAAAAATCGAAGATTTTTGGCACCTAAACAGAAAAACCGATCTAAAAAGTAGCCGAACCCGCGAAACCGAAATTCTCATCGCCCCCTCTTGTCTCCATGAATCAGTTTATGGGTAAAAGAAGAACTGGAGATTGGCAGCTACACAAAGACGTATGAAACGAACAAATATAGGTTTCTGCTCATTTGCCAAGAGGACGGTTTCAACGTACACGATCAAGGCCTCAGAGCTAACTAACCTAAATAATGGAGAGCTTAAACTATTACTATGTATAAAGTTCAGTAGTTCATGGGCCTCTTTTTTTCCTTTCTTTTTCGGATTTTTTCACCCCAAAAGACAGGATCGAGCCATTAACGAGAGACCTTTGAAGTATAAGTGCCACCGATGAAATAAGTTTGACACTTACGTTACGATTTTTGACCCTATTTGTAAAGTCTAGTTTAAATATATCGTTTTACAGAAAGAAGCCAGGAAGATATCCCGTCAGTTCCTAGTGGTGCATGTCCACCGGTTTGTATCTCAAATCAATTTTGGTTCTGACTTGACTAAAACAGACGCTCCCTACAATAAGTTATGTGTATATTTTAAAACCGTCAGTTTCTGGAAACATTATGACTATACCGCCGCTGGCCGCAGCTGTAATTTTCCTACTATTCTCTGGGCGTGACTTGTCTTTATTTTATCTTCAGGTCAGACCGGAAATGAGAGAGATAAAATCAAGTAAGTAAATCGTAAAAACGTTGCACTTACCAGGTTTAATCATTGAATAACATTGCGTTTTGTTGCATACTTACAGTTGTTGATATGATCGTCCCAGATTCAAGTCCACTTCAGGTAAGTGCGTTATCCCTAGATTTAATATTTTCCGTTTTCAATTCGCCTTTGAAAATGTAAAGACGAGCCCTGTCTTTTACGATACTCTAGTTAGAGCTACACGAGTATTGTCAATGATTTATTTTCAGGGCGGCATGGTTTTTGTCTTGATTATGAGTGAATCCTTACCTCCTAATATGGATTCCGCTGTCGCCTTCTTTGAAAGTGTTCCCGTCCAAGTAACCAAGCATAGAACGACACTGATAGGGATCGTTCCTCGTGAGTTATGTTATCATTATCGTACTTCCAACAATAAATACGAATTAAAGCACTTAGATTTATTGATGGATTTATTGATTTATTGATGATTTATTAATGAAGGCGGCGTGGCCGAGTGGTCAGGGTGTTGGACTTGTAATCCGGTGTCCTGGGTTCAAGTCCTCCACCCTGCCACTCACTGGATTTGTTCTCCGTTGCCCCTAGTTCAACTCCTCGGCTGCGCTCTGTAAATAGCCCACTGGTCGGCCTCCTGCCAGTGGGGATTTTTAAGCACTTAATTAGTTTACATTGTGGCTGAAAAGCCCCTAAGGGAGAGCTTCAATTTACGTATTTATTTATTTATTGATGAGGCCTGTGAGAGATTTCAATGCATCTGTTCACTCGTGCGCCATTTTCTGCTGCACTCGATGCTTCTTTGGTCACCGTCACTATTTTTGTCACCACAAGACTAATGTATCACCTATTTAGCTTTCTACCTGTCTGCTTAAGTTTGACCGACCCTTGACTGTGACATTCTTGGAAAGTGTTTAGGGCGGTTTCTAAACACGTCCAATTACTTTTCAACTTTAACATATCTTAGGGAAATAAAAATAGTTCTGTGACGTAATGCAAATTCTTCTAAGCTCACGCTTTTTCGTCAAGTTTTGAATTTATGTAGCCCGTGTACAGCCGTCCCCTACCCTCCAAAAGAAAATCGGCAGGGGTGCGATTATTTATACCTATTTTGAAGAGTAGGGGGTGCTGTACACAGCCTAGAATCGTGTCCATCTGCTGATCGTTTTTGATCACAGACCATATGATAAAGTATTAATTTACTTTGACCATTGGGTTAGGAAAATCTCTTGGAAAGGCTGTACTAGCCTTGCAATCGCTCAGTTCGATTAGCGAGGCCTCGATTTAAGGAAGTTCTGTGAATATCCATTGATAAGATAATAAGTCGTAAGTAATGAGCGCCTCTAACTTGCAGTACATGCACTTGAGTTCTGAATGAGAAGTCTGAAAAATGGAACAGAGAAAACAAGCAAAAACCATAAGAACCGGGCCTATCCTTACGTTCTTTAGTTACGAATGGCAAGTAAGCAATGGGTGGATAATGTGTTTCCTGAAGTAAAGTATGCCTAGATAGAATTTCCTATTCTTTTGTGATTTTTTTTTTTCGGTTTTCTATGCGCTTAAGCTTCAGACGAACCTGGCATCGTTACAGTTAAAGTGCAGTCCAGAGATGGGATATTTCTTGGAAATATTCTTTTTGAATATGTAGACGCTGACAAAACTTACTTGAAAAGACTGGTGACTGATCCTAAGTTGCTACAGAAATTTTATATGCAAATGGCTGAAGAGCAAGGTAAAAAAACACGTGAAAGTGAAAAGCAGCCCAATTTACAGCCGCCCTATATCGTCACCACAGCAGGTGTGTTGTTCTATTGACATTCATGGTCTTTTCAAGTGCAAGGAAAGTTTGAACTGCGAATCTTAAGTTAAAACTTAGGATCCATAGTCATAACTTCGGACCCGTTGTTACATTTGTAGAACTTTGGATATGCAGCAGTAACTTTGGATCTGTCAAAAGCTTTACTTTCAGTTAGAGTGTTATTTACAGGCCCCCGTAATATCCCGCTCAAGGTCGAAATCAAAACCTTTGAAAATCAGGTGGAAGAAACACATAGAAATTGCTTTTTACCTAGACCTACAGAAAAGTCCTAATATAGAGGCTCCGGGTGATGGACGTTTTATGACTTAAACAAGCTTTAGCAAAATGGATACCCTCAGCCAAGTAATCTCTCACCAATCTTTGTTTTGTTCAGTTACGATAAACGAAATTTAAACTAGGCAGTTATAACTGTTACAATTCCTTACTTTTTTGCAGGGTCCTCTCAAGCATTCCATATATTAGCTACCCTCGTGTTTGCAGCTGCTAAATATGATGCTCTTGAGCCTATTAAAATTATCTTAGACTCCTCGAACGGAAGTGCTGTCTTTCATGCTTACAAGGATCGTGCAAAACTGCCTGAGTCTGTTGCGAGGGACCATGGTAACCATGACATTGTAGATTACCTCGAAGAAGCAACCTGTAGGTAAAATGTTTTTGCAATAGCCACGATAGTAGCCAGTTTTTGAAAAAAGAGAATTTTGATAATATGGGGTAGAGGTTATGATCTGTAGAACTGATATGAATTGATCTAGATTGATATAAATTGATATTTTTGAATTGTTCTGCATCTTTGGAACTTCAGGAGAATATTCCAACCTCACTGCATCGCAAAATCTAGCGCATTTGCTCCACCCTACTTTCTTGCTCTTTTCTGCACTGTATTGCGTTGCATGACATTGTCTGCGTATGATCACATGACTACGGTCCGTGTTATCACTTCTACAAAGAATTGGTCATGCTTTACTTCTTTGTCAGTGTTGCAGAGAGAATAACAGTCAACATTCCCAAATTTGGAACCCATTTTCCTATTGCGCTTTTGCATGGTACACCGTGAACACTGAGCTCACTCCGACTATGATAGTAGGTTAAGGTTTACATTTACAGAAGAATTAGATTAAGCAATTAGACTTCTTGTGTAATCTTATGCGGCTCCTCTACATTAGAAGAACTCCAAATCAAGTCCCACCATATTTGATGTAAATTTATTTTCTTCTGGGAAGATTCTATGAAGAGATCAAGTGTGGTAAAGAATGTAACCAGACAGTGGATTGGTTAGAACTTCTAAACGCCGCTGGAGAAGGCCAAACCAGGCTTAGTAAGTAGAAATAGTGCGTTATTTTATAATTGTAGATTGACTCCTGCACAAACATTTACTTCACTTTGTTTAATCAATTTGCTCGTTGTATGATTATATAAATATCTCTACCCTCAGCCTTAAGTGGTTTTTTGACTACACTCTTATAAGACTAGGTTTACACTAGAGGAAATTGTTCTGGATTCGTTATGAATCCGAAACGTTTTAGTACCGGATTGATATTGCCGTTTACACGAAAGTGGACGAATCCGAAATAAAAACTCCCCGGTTTGGTCGTGTCTCTGGAGATTTTGAATCCGAAATTTAAAGTGGGAACTTTGAATCCGATAACATTTGAATCCGGAAAGTTTTGTGGTGTAACCGCTTTTTTTCTTGAATCCGGATATTATTTCCGCCTGCAATCTTTTGAGTATGCGGTGAAACCAAAATGGAGGTAGGTTCTTTGTGCAATCCTTAATGTCTGTTAATGAATGCAAATAACCATGTATTCCCATATGTTCTTCTGTACTGATGCATGTATGAAGGATTTCACCAATTACCTACCAAAATGGAGGATATGCTGCTAACATTGCTGGCGGTCTCCGGTTGCCTAATCTCGTTGCAGGTTCAGGCGATAAATTTTATCATGTGTACCGCAGTATTTCAGAGGAAACGCAAATTATTATTGCAAGGAAGTTTAACGTCAGCCACACTTAATCGCCGACGATGTAGATGGCTTGGCATCTGTCCAGCTCAAATTTGCCTCAGTGGCATCTGGATCTACTCTAGCCTTTTTTGGGGGAAGCAATTTCACTTTGTCGATGGAATGACGAAACAACACTGGGCTTGGTAACCATTCCATTTCGAATGTTCCCGGAGTTGTCGTTGTGTGTAAACGGTCAGGAATCCGAATATCCTTTCAGTGTAAACGCCTGCGAATCCGAATACTCTAAAATTGATGAGTCCGGAAACATTTAGGAATCCGGAAAACTCTCCTCTAGTGTAAACCTAGTCTAAGACATGAGGGACCTTAAGCAAACCACGAATGCGACAGCAACGTGGACGTGGCAAAACAAAAGAGTTAATAGGCAGAAAAATAGCTGAGCACGTACATTGAAAACTTTGTACATTTCTTAGCTGTCCTCTGCAAAACAACAACGTGAAACCTGCAAAACTTGTGTCGTCTGCGAACGGAAGCCGCGACTTTTAATATCCACTAGGAACTCAACGCTGCTTTTATACTTAATGCTGAAGCGTGTGGCGCTGTAAGAAACGCTAAACACATTCAGTCATTTTCGAAACTCTAACTGAAAATGGAAATTTGTTTCTGAATTGACGTCTTCCTTAGCGTTGCCGTCCTGCTTAAGGTCCTTATTATTATTTGTTGAAAAACCTCTTTGGTACACCACTTGCATTGTTCTCTTAACCCTCTCCTTTCCAAAGTTGTCGATTGATAGTTTGTACACAGTCTCTGGGAGACTAACATTGAAAATGGGAAAGAAGGTGGCAAGTGTCTCAACAAATTTGTCTGGTAATTAATAACATCAGCTATGCATTCGGCTGTGCCTCGTGAGCCACTTGTTTGACCTTGCTACATCTTTGATTTTTTGCTGAAGAGACGTACGGAAATATGGAATCTATTTCTTACTCAGGACATGGAAATGTTTGCATATTAGGAAATAGTGAAGACTGATAAATCAGAGTCATCATTTCAACCTAACTTCAGGTAGTTAAATAATTAAAAGACGCAGAATGGTGTCATAAGGTAAATTTTCCTTTTTTTGACCTCTTTCTTTAATGACTACCTCTATTTATCTTTATTTCTAAACAGATCTCGATGCTGAAGAAAGAGAGACTCATCGCCTGGAGACTGGTCGCATCAAAGACAGTGGTTATTCGGCTGACGTTGAATCATCGACTAGTTCATCATCTGACCCAGAAGGCTCTGATTCCGAACGCCATACTTCAACATCTTCCTATGAAGATATTGATTGTAAGCAAATTTTACTAAAATATTTTTCCTGAGGTGAACAATACGCTTCCATAAATTTTCAAAACTTTTGTCCAACTTCATTTGCGCCAACAAATTTTAAAGTGGAATCTCACTCGCAGACGCAAGTGCGTTAATGGCATTTGACCAGTGTCATGTGTAAGTGACTTTCATCACCCTCCCTCTCCAACATTTACATTTTCCAACACGAACTTTGAACGGAAGTTTTAATTCAATATTGAATGAATATTGAGTTGTCGTTGTTTTGAAAGTTGATTTTCATTTATTCAAGCTCTGTCATTTGCACACAGAACCATTTAACATTTTGCTCTCAGTGGTCTCATTGGTATGTCAAAATCGTCGCTTCGCCGATGCAGAACATTTACTTAAATAATTTAAGGGTAGGAGTTTTGTAGTTCATGAATTCAGACTGTCCTCTATTTCTCTTTCAGAATGTGCGTGCGTTTATTTTTATTTGTGTTATTATTATTATTATTTTTTTTTTTTGCAACTAACCTAGAAGGGGGAATAAAATAGCCCATGTTAGTTATACAGGAACGAATTATCCTGATCACAGGTCTAATTTCTTAATTTTGTTTGTATCTCTATACTTGAATGACCTCAGATATTGAAACAGGCGTAGTCGACGTTGGAAATGCTACTCAGCATGAAAAAAATTATCCGGCGGACACCAACACAGATGACACTCCCTCATCTTTTACTCTTCAGGAAGTTACAAATCTACCTGTTATTGGTGAGTTCTCTATCAAGAAGAGTATCGTTATATAACTAATGACATTTTCTGAGTCTCCCTTTTCTGAGTCTATTTGAGATAACAGCAAAAGTTCTATATTCCCTCAACTTGAGGAACTCGTTTCAAACTAAGAACCATAGGTGAGAACATATTGAAAATTTTTCTTACTAAAAGTAGACATTATCTATCCAGTAGAGGTTAGCCAATTAGAGCGTATGAAATCTGTTTCCAGCCACCTTAGATTAGATATAATATATACTTAGATTATATATAATCTAAGTTTTCATTAGGGACTAAGAGTAAGTGAGTAGGTGATAATACATATGTAACTCTATTTCACATTTAGTCTCGATGATTGTAACTTTTAGTGGTGGAAATAGTTGTTTGTTATTTAGTTGAATCCTTCAGTAACATAATGTAGCATTGGCAATTAATAAAGTTGACAATCTTCTTTGAACAACCGTATGATTATGGCAGCATTGTAAGTTGTATTTTCATGTTAAATTGAGAAACTTTTATATTTCTATTTTTTTTTTCTTAGAATTCAAGACGAGATTTGCGGAGGATAGTACTGTTGTGACATCGGCTGGTAAAGAAAGCGATATAATCACACCGTCAACTGAGGAAGAGAATACTGTCATTTCATTAGCTGCTAATCAAAGTGGTAGATCGCCATCACCTGAAAACGAAAGTGGTGCCACCCAAACAGTAACCAAAGAAAGAGACATCACGCCATTAGTTGCTACAGAAAGAAATGTCACACCATCAGCTGAAAGAGGAAGTGACTTCACGCCATCAACTGGATGTGATAGTGGAGGGAATACTGCCGTGCCAATAGCTGAGAGCACAAGTGATGCTAAGCATGCAAATTCGAAAAAAAATGTTTCCCTGCAATTAGCTAAGATAGAAAGTGTTGCTACACCAACAAAACTAGAAGGAGTTGATATCCCGCAATCAGCTGAGAGGGATAGTGAAGCGACACCCACAAACTCGAAAGAAAATACTGTCCCGCCATTAGCTGAGGGCAAAAGTGATGCTATGCATGCTAATTCAAAAGAAAATACTGTCCTGCAATCAGCTAAGTGCAAAAGGGATGCCACGCCAGTAAAATCGAAAAAACCTGATGGCCCGCAATTAGCCGAACAAGAAAGTGATGTCGCGTCGTTACTTAAAAGAGAAACTGGTCTCACACCGTCAGCTGCAGTTAATAATGATGTCATGCCAGTAGCTGCAATAGTAAGAATTATCACCCACACAGCTTCTGGAGAAAGTAACATCACGCCATCAGCTGAGGACCAAAGTGATATTATGCCATCAGCTGAGGACGAAAGTAACATCACCTCATCAGCGAAGGACGATAGTGATATCACGCCATCACCTGAAAGAGAGAGGTCTGTTATATCATCAGCTGCAGAAGAAAATAATATCATGTCATCATCTCACAAAAAGACTGCTTTTATACTATCAGCTCCAAACGAAGTTGATTTAGAGCCATTGGCTGCGAAAGCGAGGGACTTCAAGCCGTCTAATGCTAAAGGAACTGTGGAATCTGACACATTCATAGGTAAGAAAATTGATTAAAACAGTTTTCTTTTCTTACATTTAGCTGGGAGCAAGAGATACTCTTTGTTTTTAACTGTTACTACCTGTAATGCTTAAGGCTGGTTTTCAATGGCTACAGAATCGGAGGTGTAGTCAGAGTCAAGAAAGCGCCCCCGACTGAGTGAAAACTGAAAATTAGAGTCGTAGGCGGAGTTATAAGCTCGACAGAATCGGAGTCGGAAGAGTCAGGACAGTATAATTTTCTTACGACTTCGAATATGATCCAGTGAAAATTAGATTATCGGAGTCTCAAGCAGGAATGGAAAAACCAACCAATCACTTTGTCAGATCATAGGTCTTTCCAGTACAGTCTTTCGCTTACGACTCTGACAATTCAGTTTTCACAGTATTGTAAGCGACGGATTCGTAAGCGGCAGCGGTATTTTCTTCCGATTTCGTCGCTTGATTTTCACTTGATCGTTTCACTCTGCGATTATGATTACAACTCCGACACCGTGGTAACTGAAAACCGGCCTTGACAGAATGCGGTTTGAATACGCTCAAGTCAACCCTCTCTCCTCAAATTCTTCGGCTCACCGGTCTCTTTGTAACTGGGAGTAATCCCAGTATCTTTGTTAAGTAGTTAACTTACCATTATTTTTTTTTTATCTTTTTCCTAAACTTAACCTGTAAAGGACCTCCAAGAGAAAGTCGAGGCACTTCAAAGGGGAGCGGCGTTGCGTTCTAATTTGACTGAGATAATTGCGATCATGTTTGCCTCACTTGGTAGTTTCTCTCTGTACTTACGAGTTACCAGTCGTACAGTGGTTTATGACGATAACGTTGACGAGTTCCATTGAGACTTTTTTAGCCGTTAATGGGAGACTGTGGTTCATATATAATTTCAGAGCTGCAAAATGGATATTCTAATTTGACTGAGAAAATTGCAATCACGTTTGTCAATTAAATGGGTTTTTGTTGGTCCTATATTCTAATTCCTTAAAAAAAAAGGTTTGATACATGAAAATAGAGAAAGAGTTCAGAATAAGTCTAAAAAAAGCAACATTCGAGCCACCTCTTTCCTCTGTTTTGATATGAATGACCAATCGTAGTTGAAAACAAAAGTACACCACCGCGTTGCTGCGACGTAGAATGGATTGTGCACTTTTAAACAAGTAGTGATGTTTTACCATCGTAAAACACAAATTGAATTCTTCGGCCCACTTAATGGCCTCTTTGTAACAGGTAGTAATCCCGGTATCTTTGGTCTAAAGTAAGCGTCAGTTAACTCCATAAATAGTTAACATTCCATCATTTTTCTATCTTTTTTCTCAACCTAGAAGTCGAAAAGCATCCCGAAGAAGGAAACAAGAACTCTGAAAGAAGGTTATCGTTCCTCAGTGGTAAGATATTTAGTTTCTTACCTACAACCATCTCATTCCCATGCTCTGCAAATTCAAATTTCTTGCGATTATGTATTTATTACGGCCAATTTTGTAAACAAATACACTCCATATTTCCTTGAATCGGGGACAATTTCCGATGTGGCTCGTACAAGGAATAAAGACCCACTGTTAGGGCGGGGGAGGGGTGGTCGGACATGGAGGTGAACTTCTGTATACTGGATATCCGTACAACAATTTTAATCAAATGTCTAACAAAATCCTGTATTGCTTTGCTTTTGCTTTACTTCGATCAATGATTGCTTCAGAAAACTCGCGCTTACCTCTCAATCTGGTGCATGCAGAATTCGTCCCCGACCTCACTTGGTTTTCTCTCTGTACTTACGAGTTACCCGTCGTACAGTGGTTTATATCGGTGACTGTGACGAGTTCCATTGAGACCTTTTTAGCCGTTAATGGGTAGACTGTAGTTCATATGTGATTTCAGTGCTACAAAATGTATATTGTAATTTCACTGAGAAAATTGGAATCATATTTCTGAATGAAATGGGTTTTTTTGTTGGTCCTCCCTTCTAATTTCTTAAAAGTGTGACAACAAAAATGGTTTGATAAATGAAAATTGAGAAAGAGTGTAGAACATGTCCAATAAAGCAACATTCGAGCCACATCTCTCCTGTATTTTGATATGAACGACCAATCGTAATGTAAAAGAAAATTACGCCACCGCGGTGCGGCGACGTAGAATAGATTGCACACATTTTAACAAGTGGTGATGTTTTACCATGTAAAGCACAAATTGAATTTTTCGGCTCATTTAGTGGCCTGTTTGTAACTAGGAGTAATCCCAGTATCTTTGGTCTCAAGTAAGTGTCATTTAACTCCGTAAATAGTTAACTTTCTATTATTTTTTTATCTTTTTTCCTAAATGTAGAAGTCGAAAAGCATCCCGAAAAGGAAACAACGAAATTGCCATGGAGGGTACGATTTCCCTTTGGTATGATATTCAGTTTCTTACCTATAACCATATGATTCCCATGCTCTGCAAATTCAAATTCCTTGCGGTTATCTATTTATTACGGCCATTTATGTAAACAAATACACTCCATATTTCCTTGAATCGGTGACAATTGCTGTTTTGGCTCGTACAAGGAATAAAAAAAAAGACCACTGTTAGGGTGGGGGGAGGGGTGGTCAGGGAAGGAGGGGACTGACATGGAGGTGAACTTCTGCATACTGGATATGCTTACAACAATTTTAATCAAATGGCTAACGAAATCCTGTATTGCTTTGCCTTTGCTTTACTTCGATCGATAATTGCTTCAGAAAACTCGCCCTTACCTCTCAATCTGGTGAATGCAGAATTTGTCCCCGAGCTTACTTGGTTTTCTCCCTGTACTTTCGGGTTACCAGTCGTAAAGTGGTTTATGTCGGTGGCTGTGACGAGTTCTATTGAGACCTTTTTTAGCCGTTAATGGGTAGACTGTAGTTCATATATGATTTCAGTGCTGCAAAATGTATATTCTAATTTGACTGAGGAAATTTCAATCACTTTTGTGAATGAAATGGGTGTTTGGTTGGTCCTCTCTTCTAATTTCTTAAAAAGTGTCATGGTAAAAAGGGTATAATCGATGAATATTGAGGAACAGTGTAGAATATGTCTAAGAAAGCAACATTCGAGGCACCTCTCTCTTTTATTTTGATATGAACGACCAATCATAATGAAAAAAATCTAGTACGCCACTGCGTTTTTGCGACGTATAGTGGATTTTGCACACTTAAACAAGTAGTCATGTTTTACCATCGGAAAACATAAATTGACTTCTTCGGCTGACTTATTGGCCTCTTTATAACTAGGAGCAATCGCGGTATCTTTGGTCTAAAGTAAGTGTGAGTAAGCTCCGTAAATAGTTAACTTGCTATTATTATTTTTATCATTTTTCTAAACGTAGAATGGTCAAAGAAACTCCTTGAGGAAATGGAGGAACAGAGAAGTAAGTTTACATTGTCCATCGGTAAGATATTTAGTTTCTTACCTAGAACCACAGGATTCCCGACCATCCTCTGCAAATTCCAAATCCTTGCGGTTATGTATTTATTACGGTCATTTTTGTAAACAAATACACTCCATATTTCCTTGAATCAGTGACAATTTCCGATATGGCTCGTAAAAGGAATCAAAAATCCACTGTTAGGGTGGAAGGAGGGGTGGTCAGGGGAAGGAGGGGACTGACATGGAGGTGAACTTCTGTATACTGGATATCCTTACAACAATTTTAATCAAATGTCTAGCGAAATTCTGTATTGCTTTACCTTTGCTTTACTTCGATCAATGATTGCTTGAGAAACTTGGCGCTTCCCCCTCAATCTGGAGCATCTAGAATCGGTCACTAACCTCACTTGGTTTTCTCTCTGTGCTTTGGAGTTGGCAGTCGTGTAGTTGTTTATGACGGTGATGAGTTCCATTGAGACCTTTTTATCCATTAATGGGTAGACTGTGGTTCATATATGATTTCAGTGCTGCAAAATGTATATTCTAATATGACTGCGAAAATTGCAATTACTTTGATGAATGAAAATGGTTTTTTGTTGGTCCTCTCTTCTAATTTCTTAAGAAGTGTAGTAATAAAAAAGGTTTCATAGATGAAAATAGAAAAAGAGTTTAGAATATGTCTAAGAAAGCAACATTCGAGGCACCTCTCTCTTTTATTTTGATATGAACGACCAATCATAATGAAAAAAAAACAAGTACGCCACGGCATTTTTGGGACGTAAAGTAGATTTTGCACCTTTAAACAAGTGGTCATGTTTTACCAGCGGAAAACATAAATTGACTTCTTCGGCTGACTTATTGGCCTCTCTGTAACTAGGAGCTATCGCGGTATCTTTGTTCTGATGTAAGTGTGAGTGAACTCCGTAAATAGTTAACATGCTATTATTATTTTTATCTTTTTTCTAAACGTAAAATACTTAGAAAAACTCAAAGAGCGACGGGAGGAACTTAAAAGTAAGTTTGCGTTGTCCATCGGTAAGATATTTAGTTTCTTACCTACAACTATAGGATTCCCGACCATCTGGAAATTCCAAATCCTTGCGGCTATGTATTTATTAGGGCCATTTTTGTAAACAAATACACTCCATATTTCCTTGAATCAGTGACAATTTCCGATGTGGCTCGTACAAGGAATCAAAAATCCACCGTTAGGGCGGGAGGAGGGGTGGTCGGGGGAAGGAGGGGACTGACATGGAGGTGAACTTCTGTATACTGGATATCTTTACAACAATTTTAATCAAATGTCTAGCGAAATTCTGTATTGCTTTACCTTTGCTTTACTTCAATCAATGATTGCTTGAAAAACTTGGCGCTTCCCCCTCAATCTGGAGCATCTAGAATCGTTCACTAACCTCACTTGGTTTTCTCTCTGTGCTTTGGAGTTGGCCGTCGTGTAGTTCTTTATGACAGTGACGGTGACGGTGACGAGTTCCATTTAGACCTTTTTATCCGTTAATGGGTAAACTGTGGTTCATATATGATTTCAGTGCTGCAAAATGCATATTCTAATTTGACTGAGGAAATTTCAATCACTTTTGGGGATGAAATGGGTTTTTTGTTGGTCGTCCCTTCTAATTTTTTAAAAATTGTGACGATGAAAAGCTATAATCGATGAAAATTGAGGAAGAGTGTAGAATATGTCTAACAAAGCAACATTGAAGGCACCTCTCTCTTCTATTTTGACATGAACGACCAATCATAATGAAAAAAAACTAGTACACCACTGCGTTTTTGCGACGTAAAGTGGATTTTGAACATTTAAACAAGTAGTCATGTTTTAACATCGGAAGACATAAATTGACTTTTTTGGCTGACTTATTGGCCTACTTGTAACTAGGAGCTATCGCGGTATCTTTGGTCTTAAGTAAGTGTGAGTAAGCTCCGTAAATACTTAACATGCTATTGTTATTTTTATTTTTTTTTAAAACGTAGAATACGAAAAGAAACGCGAAGAGGAAATGGAGAAACATAGAAGTAAGTTTGCGTTGTCCATCTGTAAGATATTTATTTTGTTACCTACAACCATAGGATTCCCGACCATCCTCTGGAAATTCCAAATCCTTGCGGTTATGTATTTATTAGGGCCATTTTTGTAAACAAATACACTCCATATTTCCTTGAATCGGTGACACTTTCCGATGTGGCTCGTACAAGGAATCAAAAATCCACTGTTAGGGCGGGAGGAGGGGTGGTCAGGGGAAGGAGGGGACTGACATGGAGGTGAACGTCTGTATACTGGATATCCTTACAACAATTTTAATCAAATGTCTAGCGAAATCCTGTATTGCTTTACCTTTGCTTTACTTCGATGAATGATTGCTTGAGAAACTTGGCTCTTCCCCCTCAATCTGGAGCATCTAGAATTGGTCACTAACCTCACTTGGTTTTCTCTCTGTGCTTTGGAGTTGGCAGTCGTGTATTTGTTTATGACGGTGACGGTGACGGTGACGAGTTCCATTGAGACCTATTTATGCATTAATGGGTAAACTGTGGTTCATATATGATTTCAGTGCTGCAAAATGCATATTCTATTTTGACTGAGGAAATTTCAATCACTTTTGTGAATGAAATGGGTTTTTTATTGGTCGTCCCTTCGAATTTTTTAAAAATTGTGATGATGAAAAGGTATAATCGATGAAAGTTGAGGAAGAGTGTAGAATATGTCTAAGAAAGCAACATTGAAGACACCTCTCTCTTCTATTTTGACATGAACGACCAATCGTAATGAAAAAAAACTAATACGCCACTCCGTTTTTGCGACATAAAGTGGATTTTGAACATTTAAACAAGTAGTCATGTTTTAACAACGGAAAACATACATTGACTTCTTCGGGTGACTTATTGGCCTCTTTGTAACTAGGAGGTATCGCGGTATCTTTGGTCTAAAGTAAGTGTGAGTAAGCTCCGTAAATACTTAACATGCTATTGTTATTTTAATTTTTTTTCCTAAACGTAGAATACGAAAAGAAACTCGAAGAGGAAATGGAGGAACATAGAAGTAAGTTTGCGTTGTCCATTGGTAAGATATTTATTTTCTTACCTACAACCATAGGATTCCCTACCATCCTCTGGAAATTCCAAATCCTTGCGGTTATGTATTTATTAGGGCCAATTTTTGTAAACAAATACACTCCATATTTCCTTGAATCGGTGACAATTTCTGATGTGGCTCGTACAGGGAATCAAAAATCCACTGTTAGGGCAGGAAGAGGGGTGGTCGAGGGAAGGAGGGGACTGACATGGAGGTGAACTTCTGTATACTGGATGTCCTTACAACAATTTTAATCAAATGTCTAGCGAAATCCTGTATTGCTTTACCTTTGCTTTACTTCGATCAATGATTGCTTGAGAAACTTGGCGCTTGTCCCTCAATCTGGAGCATCTAGAATCGGTCACTAACCTCACTTGGTTTTCTCTCTGTGCTTTGGAGTTGGCCGTCGTGTATTTGTTTATGACGGTGACCGTGACGGTGATGGTGACGGTGACGGTGACGGTGACGGTGACGAGTTCCATTGAGACCTTTGTATCCGTTAATGGGTAAACTGTGGTTCATATATGATTTCAGTGCTGCAAAATGTATATTCTAATTTGTCTGAGGAAATTTCAATCACTTTTGTGAATGAAATGGGTTTTTTGTTGGTCATCCCTTCTAATTTTTTAAAAATTGTGATGATGAATAGGTATAATCGATGAAAATTGAGGAAGAGTGTAGAATATGTCTAAGAAAGCAACATTGAATTTACCTCTCTCTTCTATTTTGACATGAACGACCACTCGTACTGAAAAAAAAGTAGTACGCCACTGCGTTTTTGCGACGTAAAGTGGATTTTGAACATTTGAACAAGTAGTCATGTTTTAACATCGGAAAACATAAATTGACTTCTTCGGCTGACTTAGTGGCCTACTTGTAACTAGGAGCTATCGCGGTATCTTTGGTCTTAAGTAAGTGTGAGTAAGCTCCGTAAATACTTAACATGCTATTGTTATTTTTATCTTTTTTCTAAACGTAACATACTTAGAAAAAGTCAAAGAGCAACGGCAAGAACTTAAAAGTAAGTTTGCGTTGTCCATCGATAAGATATTTAGTTTCTTACCTACAACTATAGGATTCCCGACCATCCTCTGCAAATTCCAAATCCTTGCGGTTATGTATTTATTACGGCCATTTTTGTAAAACAAATACACTCCATATTTCCTTGAATCGGTGACAATTTCCGATGTGGCTCGTACAAGGAATCAAAAATCCACTGTTAGGGCGGGAGGAGGGGTGGTCGGGGGAAGGAGGGGACTGACATGGAGGTGAACCTCTGTATACTGGATATCCTTACAACAATTTTAATCAAATGTCCAGCGAAATCCTGTGTTGATTTACCTTTGCTTTACTTCGATCAATGATTGCTTGAGAAACTTGGCTCTTCCCCCTCAATCTGGAGCATCTAGAATCGGTCACTAACCTCACTTGGTTTTCTGTCTGTGCTTTGGAGTTGGCAGTCGTGTAGCTGTTTATGACGGTGACGAGTTCCATTGAGACCTTTTTATCCCTTAATGGGTAGACTGTGGTTGATATATGATTTCAGTGCTGCAAAATGTATATTCTAATATGACTGCGAAAATTGCAATTACTTTTGTGAATGAAAAGGGTTTTTTGTTGGTCCTCTCTTCTAATTTCTTAAGCAGTGTAGTGATAAAAAAGGTTTCATAGATGAAAATCGAAAAAGAGTTTAGAAAATGTCTAAGAAAGCAACATTTGAGGCACCTCTCTCTTTTATTTTCATATGAACGACCAATCGTAATGAAAAAAAACTAGTACCCCACTGCGTTTTTGGGACGTAAAGTGGATTTTGCACATTTAAACAAGTGGTCATGTTTTACCATCGGAAAACATAAATTGACTTCTTCGGCTGACTTATTGGCCTCTTTGTAACTAGGAGCTATCGCAGTATCGTTGTTCTGAAGTAAGTGTGAGTAAACTCCGTAAATAGTTAACATGCTATTATTATTTTTATCTTTTTTCTAAACGTAACATACTTAGAAAAAGTCAAAGAGCAACGGCAAGAACTTAAAAGTAAGTTTGCGTTGTCCATCGATAAGATATTTAGTTTCTTACCTACAACTATAGGATTCCCGACCATCCTCTGCAAATTCCAAATCCTTGCGGTTATGTATTTATTACGGCCATTTTTGTAAAACAAATACACTCCATATTTCCTTGAATCGGTGACAATTTCCGATGTGGCTCGTACAAGGAATCAAAAATCCACTGTTAGTGCGGGAGGAGGGTTGGTCGGGGGAAGGAGGGGACTGATATAAAGGTGAACTTCTGTATACTGGATTACTGGATATCCTTACAACAATTTTAATCAAATGTCTAACAAAATCCTGTATTGCTTTACCTTTGCTTTACTTCGATCAATGATTGGTTCAGAAACTTCGCGCTTCCCCTTCAATCTGGAGCATCTAGAATCGGTCACTGACCTCACTTGGTTTTCTCTCTGTGCTTTGGAGTTGGCAGTCGTGTAGTTGTTTATGACGGTGACGAGTTCCATTGAGACCTTTTTATCTCTTAATGGGTAGACTGTGGTTGATATATGATTTCAGTGCTGCAAAATGTATATTCTAATATGACTGCGAAAATTGCAATTACTTTTCTGAATGAGAAGGGTTTTTTGTTGGTCCTCTCTTCTAATTTCTTAAGCAGTGTAGTGA